TTAATTTATATAATTAAATAATGTTATTATAAATTTGAATAATACAATTCGTAATGATATTTTTGCCTATACTTGATTTAGGCTGAAGTAGCTCTGAGTGCTTACATTTCTGAAAGGTAATACAAAATTTATGTTTTTTTTTTTTTTTTTTTTTTGTTTTTTGATTTTTTATTTAAACTTATTTACCATTATTACTTATTACTATATAATTAATAATTTTTCTTTTCTTTTTAGAGATAAAAAACGTTTCTGTAGCTCACCAGAAGCATATTGTAGGACTGGTAAGACTGGTATTCAATCAATATTTACTTTTCATTTAATATTTGTAGCAACAAGTTGTAGGAATAAGTTGTTTTTTATTATTCAAACGCTCAACACTCAGAAAGAAAAAAACTAGTCTGCAAAAAAGTCTGCAAAAAATTGCCGATCTTAAACTGTTTTAGGTTGGCATCAGGTCAGCAATTACATTTATTCACAAAAGTTGCATCATAAAAAGTAGAAACGTAAAGTATCAAGGTTGGCAAAAAATTGCCAACGACAAACACTTTAATATTGACAGTTAGGTCAGCTTTTCCAAATGCTGACCCTAAATCCAAGGGCTGTTCACCAATACTTTTAAAATTTTAAAAAATATCAAATAATTGAAATATTTAGCTGACAACAAAATAAGAATATTGTTTATATCTTTTTCATTTTTTTTTAGATGTAGATTTTTCAGTTTCAATATATTCTGAAAATCAATTAATAAACGTAAGAACTTTGAAGACAAATTTATTGAAGCAATTCAATATATTTTATAAAATATATTTTAGTCACTACTTGGAAAAAACCCCAGGGTACACCTCTGGTGTGTGTGTATATATTTATGTATATATATATATATATATATAAATATATATAAATATATATATATATATATATATATATATATATATATATATATATATATATATATATATATATATATATATATATATATATATATATATATATATATATATAGGGTGTTAGCCAGGAATGCATTTTATACCGTATTTTTGCGGTATTGGAAATATTTTTTGTTTTTCTGCAAATTATTGGGTATTTTAAAGAAATTGTCCCAAAAAAGTAAATAAAAAAATAAAATTATTGGTTTTTTGGAATTTTAAACCCATTGGGAATTCCGCGTTATACTCGGCACCATTGGGCTAGCTAACACTGTGTGTATATATATATATATATATATATATATATATATATATATATATATATATATATATATATATATATATATATATATATATATATATATATATATATACACATATATATATTCATATATATATATATATATATATATATATATATATATATATATATATATATATATATATATATATATATATATATATATACACATATATATATTCATATATATATATATATATATATATATATATATATATATATATATATATATATTATTTTTATTAATTTTAACTTTTTTTTCAGAAATCCCTTGAAGATATTGGCAAATCATCTAAAATTTCTAATGATTTAGATATAAAGACAACTATTATGATTGATGAACCACCTGGATGTTCATCAAATGTGAGTTGTGTGTTTGTACCTATGTGTGTGTATATATATATATATATATATATATATATATATATATATATATATATATATATATATATATATATATATATACATACATACATACATACAGGCACAGATACAGGGGAAAGGGGGTAATGTGGGTAATGCATTACCCCCACCAGACTTTCAATTATTATTTTTACTCGAACGAATGCGTTGTGGTGGTTTCAATCAAAACGTTTTAAAGCTTAATCAAATTGGCTGCCGTTTTGCACATGAGCTAAGTTCCAGTATTTGTGTGTTGAATCGCCTTGTTTTAAAATCTTAATATACTATGGAATATTACTAAATATACTTAATATACTAAAAAGGCGTAAGATAACAGACTATTGTCAACAAAAGTAACAGTTTTTTTATAAAATGTAAAAGTTTTTTTTCAATTGTATTTTATTTGTTTATGTAAAGTACCTAAAGCTAATGTTTTCTAATGTCCACACAAAATTGGTTTTGTATTGACATTTGACAATTAACTTTACACTTTACGCAACTCGTGTACTCAATTACACTAATAATTAGTGTGATAAAAAGTGACTAATTCAAAAGTAAAAAGTGAACTAAAAATAAAAAGTGACTAAATCACAAATTCATCTTGACTTACAGTAGCGGTGATGCTACAAAATGTTAGAAGGGTATTCATCGTGTTCTTTTTTGTTTATTTTCCAGTCCTACAACTACAATAGTTGACGACGTCAGTCAAGTGAGTTTACCCAGTGGTTCACTACCTAAAATTCTGCAGTCGTCACTACTAATTTGTAATCAATTGATATTAATAAACCTATTGTATAATAATTTATATGCCTGTCTCACATAAATTTTTGGGAGGGGGATACCCCATCCAAAATCCTCCCCTAAGTAAACCTCCAAACATTACCCCCCACCACTGAATCCTAGATCCGCTGCTGTATATATATATATATATATATATATATATATATATATATATATATATATATATATATATATATATATATATATATATATATATATATATATATATATATAACAGGTGATAAAAGCGAGTCAGTTGGCATCAATTATAATTGTGACAGTAGCAATGTATGCTTTACATTGCAGATTATATAAATTGTTAATTTACTTGTTAAAAAATGTTTTTAGATTCGGTAACTATATTAGAAGCTTATAATGATTTTTTTTCTTATTCAGATAACAGGTGATAAAATCGAATCAGTTGGCATCAATGATAATTGTGACAGTAAAGTAATTGAAAATATAATTTTTTTATATGTTGATCATCAGGAAGGGCATTACATCCGATTGTAAAAAAAATGCTTTGACTCTTTCATAGTGGCATTTATATGTCACTATGGAAAACCATCCAAACCACACAAACATGGATATAAAATTTAAACCTTTTCTAATACATTTTTTTTAACATTTAGGATGAGGTAATTTGGAAAGTGGGACAAAAGTTTACAAGTATTGAATTGGTAGAGGCTTGTAAAACTAATTATGAGTTAAAACGACATTGTCAACTTGTGAAGAGTAAAGTAAGATCTTTAGAAGCTGCTAAAAAGAGAATTCCTAAACGAATTGCTTTAGCTAATATGGCATTGCACTACCAAACTTTACAGTTTGTTTGCAAGTTTAGTGGAAAGTCGAGTCAGCCAGAATTAGAAAGAAAGTGAAAAACTAAATCCTTCCGTTGTGGTTGTCCATTTTAAATTGTGCTGGAACTTTTAGTTGACAATCAGCACCTACAAGTGGTGCGTGTACAAGAAGAACACAATCATCTGGTTTCTCAGGAACTGTACGAACACTTGCCTAAACAAAGAATTTTATCTCCAGATATGATGAAAAACGTTAAAGAGGCGATTCAGTTCAAAGCAAATAGCAAACATCTACAGCAAAAGATTGAGTTATCGTCTGGCAAAAAATGCATATTATAAGATATTGCTAACCTTCCTCAATATTCTAAAGTTTCATTTTCTGATAATGAAATATATGACATTGCAGAATTTCTCAAACAACGAAAAGGATCTGTGGTTGAAGTTCTAGTTGATTCTGATAAAATGTTCAAGGGGCTTTTTTTTCAGGACTCACAAATGCAGAAGATGTACGAAAGGTACCCAGAGATACTTTTTGTAGATGCTACGTACCAGCTACTGGGGTTACGCATGCCTATTTATTTAATGATTGTAATAGATGGAGATGGCCAAAGTGAGATTGTGGCTTTGTTTATACTAGCCGAGGAAACAAAACCAATTGTTACAGAGGTGGTGCAAATTTTTAAAAAACACAACGGCTATTGGAAAAATACACGTGTAGTGATGTCGGATAAAGACTTTACAAAAAGAGAAGCTTTTGCTGTAGCCTTTCCTGCCGCTATGTTATTAATTTGTTTGTATCATTGGTAAGACTTATTTTAATTTTTTTCTAAACCATTTTTAGATAACCGTTTTGGGTAAGTTTTCTTTCTGTAAATAAAATGAGTTTTTAGTTTATCTATTTATTTTTGATCAGTAGCACATTACGCCCATATCTGTTTTTAAATTTTAGTTATTTTTTGTATTAAGTTTATTTATCACTGTAAATCATTGTGCTGTCCATGTCCGAGTGTTATTATAGGCATTTGTAATATGGTTAACACTCTAGGCATGCTGATGAGCTCTGATATTGAGCGAAACAGACAAGAGGGTTTAAAAATATTCAAGTTATTTTCCTCAAATATTTTGTTTTATATTTATGCAAGCTTTAATTTTTGTTTTTACAGTTTACGCTCCTTTCGAAGAGAAATTACTTGCGAGAAAATGGGTATCACTTTAGCTGATAGAAATCGTTGCCTTAAAATAATTCAAAAAATTGCATATTCTAAATCAAGTATTGTGTACGAGCAGAATAAACAAATGCTTTTAGATACAAAACTAACTGCAGTGACAGAATATTTTGTTAAAAATTGGGATCCTATCAAACACCAATGGGTCACAGCTTATAAAGATCTATATTTTAACCTTGGAGAAACTACTAACAATCGTCTGGAATCGATGTTCAACAGATTAAAATCGGTTTGTACAAAGCATACGAGTATGATGCAATTTTTTATAGAATTTTTTGTATTTCTTGGCGCAATCAGGAATGACAGAAATCACCACCACCTTATGTCTTTGACAAGACACGATATAGCTATACCAAGTCATCCTGATATGATCTTATACAGGGAACATTTAACGCCTTATGCTTTTTCTTTTGTTATTTCACAATTTGAAAAAATTAAAAATGATTCATCTTTTAATTTTGAAAAAAGTGACGAAATTGGAAACTATAACATAAAACATTCTAAGTTTTTGATTGCGTCAAAAGAGTTTTGCAATTGCAGATTCATGTCTAAAATGGAATTACCATGTTACCATTTATTCCAACTGCGCAAGTTTTTGATGCTACCTATGTTTGATGTGCAGTTAGTAAATCGAAGATGGACTAAGGAATATTATAATCAATCTCTTCGAGCAAGAAACGATACCAATATAACTTCAAGTGTTGAAATTGTTTCGGAAGTTAATGTAAAACCGGTTAAAGCTTTAACACAAGCACAAAAATATCGAAACTTATTAAAAATAAGCTATTAGCTTCTGTTGGAAGCGAGGGTGGTATGGTAATTTTCAAAAAAAGACAAGCGCAACTGGAGGTTATATTACGACAATGGCAAAAAGGAGAAGAAGTGACGCTGGTGACAAATGATGATATTATAGAAGTTGATAACGTTGACTTGATGGAATTTGATTGTCACGTCACTAAAACAGGCATTGAGAAGATCAAATTAAGCCCTATCAGTACAAATAAACATATTGATTCTATTGAGACTTTCCCCCTTCTTTCTGAAAAGGATGTTCCTCAAAATCCCGCTAAGTTAGATCTCAAAGAAGTATTAATGCTGCCAAAAATGAAAACCAAAGGCCGGCCGAAAGGGGCTAATACAACAGTTATTGGTGTCCCTAAAAAAAAGAATTATCTGAAACCAATACCATACATTAAGCTATTACCTAAAGATAAAGACAGATTTATTTTAACCCGCATAGTACAGGTTCCAGCTGTTGAATTAGCATTGAGTGGGGGGAAACTAATTTGTTCGTCAGACATCAAAAAATCAGTTTTTTTGCCTGATTCTCTTCGTGATGAGAAATCTTTGGATATAGAGAGGGTAGAAATGTTCTTTAAATCTGCAGCGTGGAAAGTTGTCAAATCTGCAATTATTAGCAAAAAAAAGCAACAATGGATTTGTTCGATTTGTAGGAACATATTGAAAGATGAAGAAGAAAGTATTAGTTGCGATTGCTGCTTGTTGTGGAGTCATTTAAAATGCTCTACGCTGCGAAAAACACCTAAAACGAAATATTGGTTTTGTAATAGTTGTAGGTTAGAATCAACATGTTGATGGGGAATAATTTAATACTTAACAATATTACCCACCCTTTACTTTTACATATTTTGTCAACCCGATACTTTTTATATAACAAAGAAGATCAAAGTTACGACCAATTAAAAAATGTAAAAGTTACTACCTGTAAAAGCTTTACCTAAAGGTAAAAGTTACTGCCTGGTGTTTAGTTTTCATTTTTTATAAACTTGGTACTTTTTACATAATGGTAAAAGTTACTGCCTGATTTATAGTTTTTCATATTTTTTAAACCCGGCACTTTTTACATAAAGGTAAAAGTTACTGCCTGGTTTATAGGTTTTTATACTCTTTAAACCCGGCACTTTTTACATAAAAGTAAAAGTTACTGTCTGGTGTGTAGTTTTGCATATTTTATAAACCCGGCACTTTTTACATAAGAAAAAGCAAAGATAAAAGTTACTGCCTGGTGTGTAGTTTTACATATTTTATAAACCCGGCACTTTTTCAGGAATTATCTTTTTCCGGATATTTCCGGAATTCCGGATATTTTTTTCAATTTTTAGTTTTTCCGGATATCCAAAATATTTTCAATACATGCAAGACGAGGTATATATTTTTGTAATATATTTATTTTTTAAGCTTTTTCACTCATCACTTAAAAAAAATTATGAAAAGTAACAAAAAAATATTAAAAACAATTTCACTAAAAGCGAAATTAAAAAGAAAATAAGGAAAAACAAATTCCGGATTTTTTCCGGATGTTTTTTCCAAACCATTTTCCGGATTTTTAAAATATGACTAGGATAATCTATGACTTTTTACATAAGAAAAAGCAAAGGTAAAAGTTACTGCCTGGTGTGTAGTTTTTCATATTCTTTAAACCCGGCACTTTTTACATAAAAGTAAAAGTTACTGCCTGGTTTATAGTTTGTCATATTTTTTAAACCCGGCACTTTTTACATAAAGGTAAAAGTTACTGTCTGGTGTATAGTTTTTCATATTTTATAAACCCGGCACTTTTTACTCAAGAAGATATATTAGTTTACTCGGTGCCAGGCATGTAGTTTCCGACATTTATAACTGCCCGGCATTTTTTCAACCCATGCGTACTTGAACTGCCGGGCATATATGTTTTACGTTTTTACTAACCGGCTGCCGGGCATGCAGACGCGGCGTAATTTTAAAACACAACAGGTTTTTAGCATTTTTATTATCAATTCTTAACAACTTTTTAGTTCTTTTATATTCACTTCTTTGCGTGAATTCTTAACGCTTTTATAACCACTTCTTTACGTGATAAAATCTTTCATAATGCTTTAACAACTACTTCTTTATATGATAAAATCTTTCATAATTGTTTAATAACCACTTCTTCACGTGATACAATATTTAATTACTCAAGAATCGTGTTAATATTCATACAGAAATTGATACAGATATTAAAAGAAATAGTTTAAAACTGAGTATATGATATACTATATATATTAAGTATATACCTGGTTCTT